CGATTTGAAGTTAGCGAATATCTTAGCAGCTATAATGTCGCACAGCAGCACATACCCATGCACTTATTGTTATGCCAAGAAAGATGAGCTAAGCAGCTGTGGCGAATTGAGATCCCCCGAAAATGTTTCATCGTATTATACAAGTTGGCTGACTGAAGGAAAGGGTTCAAAAACAAAGCGAAAGATTATTTCAATTGCATTCATCCACCGCTAATTGCAACTGTTGGAGGCAAAACATTCCTAGACATTATTCCACCGCCAGAATTACACCTTATGCTTGGTGTTGTTAACACTGTTTTCACGCATATGTTGAAAGAGTGTGAAAATGAGTCGCTGACATGGACAGAAGCTTGTCATGTTCAGCGTGAAATCAGACGAGGATGTTCTGGGTTTAAAGGAAATGCATGCAAAACACTTTTGGATAAAGAAGAACTTCTGCACCAGCTTAAAAATCCAGCAATACTGAAGTACGTTAAAGTATTTGACGACTTCAAAAAAGTGGTTTCTGCATGCCTCGGAAATAATCTTGACCAAAATTTCAAAGCAGGCATAGAAGCTTTCAAAAAGAACTATATGGACTTAGGAGTCAGCGTTACACCAAAGGTTCATGCAGTGTTTTTTCACATTGAACAGTTCTGTGACAAAAACGGTGAAGGATTAGCATTTTTTAGGGAGCAGGCGATGGAGTCCGTACATTTTGATTTCTTAAAGTCCTCCTGGGAAATTAATAAGGTTGCTGCAAATCACCCGGATTATTCTAAACACCTTTCGAGAGCTCTTTATAGATATAATGCTTCACATGTTTAAATTGATGTAATTACAATTAAATTATGTTACATTTTCATATTTTATCAGCAGTAAAATGTTTAAATAATAAAAGTTTAATAGAATTACAACTGAAAAATCATTATTATATCATTTTTTTCCTTTCTATTGATATAAAACAACGTCTCATTTTCCAAAATATCAAACTTCGTGCGCAAAAATGTTCAAAGTGGATTTTTTTAAAAATCTCTCCACAGATTATTTTGATTTTTTGATTTTAATTATCTGTTAACATTGTAAATTCAGAATCTCTTCTAATTTTCGAGGTGTAAGAGCATTTTATTTAACTTTGGTTAAGGCGCACCGTGGTCTTATATCTCCTTTAGGGGTTTTTATCAAAAGTGAACGAATGTTCCCATCTCGTCCCTGATACACTTCCAAAATTCTTCCCAGCATCCATATATTTCTGGGATAACGGTCATCATTGATTAAAACAATATCATTTACCTTAAATGATGTTATCTTACCTGGTGGTGAAGAAGTATAAGCAGATCTTAGATGAAGTAAATATTCCTTCCTCCACCGATTCCAGAAATGATCCAAAAGTGTTTGTTGATATTTATACATTTTAGTTAATGAATCTCTATTTACAATCAAATCATTAGGTTTATACTTAACAACAGGTAAAGACATTAATCTTTTACCAACTAAAAAATGAGAAGGTGTGAATGGAGAAGGTTCTGAGGGTTCGTTATAAAGATACGTAATAGGCCTAGAATTTATCATGGCTTCAATTTCCAAAAAGACAGTTTCTAATTCTTTAAGAGTTAGAGAAGATTTAACTGTACGTATCTGTGGCTCCCAGAAACCTCCCCACCATGGACTTTTTTCTACAATAAATTTCCAAACAATATTTTTAGAAGCAAGCATATTTTTTACCTGAGGATCATTAATTTGATTCCACCATTTTAGTTCACTATTTGCCTTTTTAAAGGCTTTTGCATTATCTGAATACAAAATCGAACACAATCCTCTACGAGAAACAAATATTCTAAATCCCAATAAAAAAGAATCAGTATTCATATTAATAACTAGCTCTAAATGCACAGTTCTAGTAACTGCATAGGTAAAAATTAACAAATAACACTTATTATTAGAGTCAGTAACAAAAAAAGGTCCAGCAAAATCTACACCAGAAATATCAAAAGGAGGTTGTTCTTTAATTCTGTCAGGTGGTAACGGAGCTACCACTTGAGTACCAGGTTTCACCTTATAACGTCTGCATATTAAACAGTTTCTTAAAAACTTTTTGACAAATTGTTTACCTTTGATTATCCAATATTGTTCTCTTAAGTGAGTTAAAGTGGAATCTACACCTAAATGACCTATTTTGACATGAGCATCTAATTCAACGAATTTATCATTAGAAGGAAGTAGTACAGGATGTTTTGTTTTCACATCATCGCTTGAGAACTGCAAACGTCCCTGTAAAAATAAAAGATTATCATCATTAAGTTTACAATTGAGATTGAAAATTCGTGAATGTTTACTCAAAGTATTTTGAGAGAGGAGTTGTTGGATTTCACTCTCGTAATGCAAGAGTTGAACAGTTTTAATCCAGGTATGCAAAGCATTTTGAAGTTCAGAAGCACTAATAGGTCCTTTCAACTTCGAAGAATTTGGCTTGGCATTATGGGCAAACCTTTTTACCCAAGCTGTCACTCTCAAAAGTCTAGTAAGATTGCTGTATTTGTTAATATCAATAGACTTTGTAAGAGAAATGTCAGAAGTCTTGTTTTGAGTCACAGTGTTCACCACAACACTCTTTGTTCTTTCTTGACCACATCACTATAATTGTCATCAGGCTGGTTGCAAAAATCTACTGCAGGCCACAAGTTGACCGGATGGGACAACCAAACTGGACCGGACCACCGCAGGGAGCTCGACACGATTTTAACTGCAGATTCTCCTCTTGTGATGAAATCAGCAGGATTTTCCGCGCCGCTGCAATGGTTCCAACACTCTTGAAGCATAAGTGTCTGCACTTCTGCCACTCGATTTGACACAAATGGTTTCCAAAGCCTTGAAGATCCTTTTATCCAGTGGAGAACAATTTTAGAGTCACTCCAATAGTATATCTGTTGAGTGAAATTAGGAAAAACGTGTTGTAAATATTTCCCTAATCTAGCACCGACGAGAGCTGAAATCAATTCCAATCTAGCCAAAGTCAAAGTTTTTAATGGAGCAACCTTGCACTTAGAAATTATGAATTTAACTTCGATATGTCCTTCAATTGTTCTATAACGAAGGTATGCCACGGCTCCGTAAGCCTTAGGACTTGCGTCAACAAATATGTGAAGAGAAACATCACTAATATCCGCCGTTGAACATAGTTTTCGTTCTATTATAACATAATTGTCCTAATCTGTAATTTCAGAACACCATTTTTTCCATTTCTTTACCAAATCGCTAGGTAAGTCTTCGTCCCACTTTAAACCTCGCTCCCAAATTTCCTGCATAATTATTTAAGCTCTAACTACAAATGGACTAATGAATCCACATGGATCAAAAATTTTAGAAATAATTTTCAACACTTGTCTTTTGGTGTTTCCTGATTCCAAGGAATACCTTAAATCCTTTAAATCTAATTTAATTTTATCTTCAATAGGATCCCACTTTAATCCTAAGAAACCTGCTCCTTGCCCAAAATCAGTGTTTTCCTCATATCCGTTTTTACGCCAGAGTTCATTTAGTTCAATACAATTAGTTTTTAATTTCCTTAAATTAAATCCGGCGTCACGTAATATTTCAATCGCCGATGAAGAAAATTGATACGCATCGTGAATAGTTTTAGCACCGTAATACAAATCATCTACGTATAGAGAATTAATTTCATAACAATTTGGTTGATCTTCCTTAATTTTCCTAATATGAAATTTTAATACACAAGCAAGAACAAATGATGACGTCGTTAATCCGAAAGGAAGGCGATTAAATTGAAGTATTCTTTTTGAATTATCTGTTTCATCCGAAAACCATAAAAATTTTAGATAATTTCTATCATCTTCCGCAATTTCTATCATATGATTGGCCTTTTCCAAATCTCCGCAAAATGCGACTTGATTTTCTCGAAATTTAAGAATTATATCCAATAAATTTGGATAAAGATTAATTCCCGATTCAAGCGAATCATTCAAAGATTTTTTATTCTCATTTACTTTACTACTACAATCGTAAACAATACGAACGCGGCTTGTTTCCTTGTCATTCCTAATTACTGCACGATGAGGCATAAAATATCCTGAATTTAAGTTTTCATTCACACTATTTCCAACAATATTACATTTTATTTGTCCCGACACAATTTGTTTATATTGACCTAAAATCTCGGGATTTTTTTAAAAATTATTCTCTAACGAATCAAAACGCCCTTTTGCAACTGCATAATTAGAGTCCATTTCCAAAGGGGGGCCTAAATTATCCTTCCACATTAATTTACATACGTAACGTTCTCCATTAAATCGCAAAGAATCCTCGAAATTTTTTATCAATTGATTATCCTTTTCAGAAAGACATATTTTCTCATTCGGAAACTCTTCTATTTCCCAAAATAGCTTAAGATCAAATAAAATAGAAGTAGAGTCCATAGTTAAGCATACATTCTCACAACTTTCGGTTGAGTCATGACCCAATTTATTATACCCAGAAAGTAACCATCCGAAATGGGAATTAATTAAACTTACATCTTCGTTTAATTTCATCCTTTCATTATAAACAATTCTCCAAAAAATACCACTCCCTATCAATAAATCGCAATTCGTAGTTTCAAATGAGTCAGCGAGTTCATATCCTTTAGTTTTTAACTCATTCATTAAGAGCAAATCTGGCTTGTTCATAGTTAGATTCGTAATAAACTGTGTTACTAAACATTCGATTTCGACCCACTTAGAACTATCGCTTTTATTTATGACCTTTAAGGAGATTATAGGATATTCTTTTTCACATGCTTTAGTTTGACCGAAAGAATAAATTGCTAATTTTTCATAGCGTACTGGTTTTAATTTTAATTCTTTAGTTAATTTCGAGCTTATAAAATTCCTATGTGACGCATTATCCACAATGGCATTTGCCAAAATCGAATTTTTATCCGAACAAGCTAATACAGAACATGTTTGTAGAAAAGCTTTATCTTTGCAAAATATATTATTGTGTGAAACAGAAATATTCAACATTGACTTTTGAGTTAGACTGATATTTATTTGGGTTAGTATCGTTTTCCGTTTTTGTTTCATTAGCTCTATTTGCATAATTTTGTGGTTTAAGAGTTTTCCTACAAACTGATTCGTGATGGTATTTAGAATTACATATTTTACATACAATTCCAGATCTACATAATTTACTGAAATGATTCCTTTTGAAACAAACACAACATCGTCTGTCAGACATAAGTTTACCAATTTTTGTTTCAACATCCAATTTTTTACAATCAACAGAATCATGCGAATTTATCAAACCACAAAAAATACAAATATTTTTTGACTGAGTATGTAACGTTGAGGCTGTGACTACGTTTTTAGGTTTAGAGAAATTCTTTTGATAAGTTTGTCCGCTTTGATAATTTTGAAAGGGGCTACGTTTTGTTCCGTATTTTTTGGGGCAACTTATTACAGATTCACAAATTTCTCTAGACTCGACCTCATTCCTTAAACTTCACGAACTCTGAGACTTCACAATTTTTATTTTTATCACGTTTCCTATGAAATTCCAATACTAAATCTTGGGGTAATAATTTCAATAACAATGGATTTAATATATGACCATACGATCCCTCGGTAACATTTAAACTGCGTAAATTTCTTATGTTTACCTCTATTTCATCATATAGTTTATGCAAACCTTTAACATAAAATGAGTTTCTAACCGGCTCCAAATTTAGTAGTTTAGTCATATAAGAATTAATAATGAAATTAGTTCTACCATAACGTTGTTGTAATAGTTCAATGCAAGAATCATAATTTTTATCGTTTAATTCAAATCCAGCAACAGCATTATAGGCGGGGGAAGAAAGAAGGGATTTTAGGTACTGAAATTTTTCAATTTTAGATAGGGAATCATTTGTACCTATTGCGCTATTAAAGCAGTTAAGGAATTTCGTGAAATTGGAATCACCAGAAAAACGGGGAATTTCTAATTTAGATAATTTAAGGGCCGAAAAGGTGTGTTCTACAGTTTCAGTAGAAGTATTATGACTTAATTCAGCTACATGATTTATTTCCTTGTTAATTTCTTTAATTTTACTTTTTAACTTTATTTTAGTAGAAAGAATCTTTTCCTCGTTCTCTTCTGATACCTTAACTTCAGCTTTAAATTTTTCTGGATCAGTTATGAGATCTTCTATATCCGAATCATGTTTTTTAAGAATTTGTTCTTTAGTTTCTAAAAGTTCTAGCAGTTCTGCAAGTGACGTATCAGTTTCCGCTTGCTCTTTTACATTCATTCTTTTAATTAATTTCGTTATACCGCTTCTTACACTGCTTCTTTTTTCTATAAGCTTATTAATCTTATCCATTTTCAAATAGTAAAATAAGTGATAAAATCTCCTACCTTGCAATCCAAATCCAAATAATGTGCCAAATCCAATAATGCAATAGTCCAATAATGCAATAATGTCCCAGTTTTACAAGATCGGGAGTAATTAGTTATACACCGATATTGTATTCCGATTGTTATTCCTTTTTGTACAAACAACCTTTTGTCGTACAGTCCAGTTTTTATTTTAGTGATATTCGCGGACGTAATGCACCATGTTGCAGAATGATTCAGTGGTGAATGGGAGCATTAATTAAAGAAACCATATTTAATAACAACAAATTTAATAATAAAACAATAAAAAATATATGATACGAAAAGGGGCTCTCCAATGAGCCATCCAGTTCAATCCATTGCTTGCCACATAAGTGTTTACAGAATTATAATGAGTGAGTGATTACAACGCCCTCTTCTGGTCAGGCAGAAATTTGTAACAATTGTAGACCAAATGGCTAGAAAATATAGCGTGAAAGCAGGATCCCGTAGATGGCCGCTTCACGTGTTTTATAACATTTTAGATTTGGCAGCCATCAATGCCTGGATATTGTACAAGGAGACCACTGGAGTAAAAATAACTCGCAAGAATTTAATTTTCCAATTGGCTGAAGAACTAGGCAGTAACCATCGCGATGAACAAAATACAAGTTTTAATTCATTATCTGATTCACAAAATCCAAATGTGCGAAAATCTTGTCAAATTGGGTTATGTAAAAAAAAATAGGTCTAATAACATTTGCATTAAATGTAATAAGTATGTATGTGGAAAGTGTGCATCCAAAAGAGTTTACTTGTAAAAAATGTATTGAAAACAACTGTGAATAAAAAACCATTAATTTAAAAATAAAAGTTTTACGAAAATGAGTATTTTAATTTACCCGTCAAAAAGACGGATTTCAGTAAAAATAGGTATGCGGCCGATACCCGTAAATATAGTGTTAAAAAAATTAAAGCGAGTAGAGTTACCCATTTACAGACAAAAGAGTATGAGGCTGGAAGGGAAAAAAATCCTAATTCCCTTAGTAAAATAGTTTCTACTAAAGTGAATCAAGTGAGACATAAAAAGATACCTTTAACTCAGGCCTAAAATAGTTGCATCTATGATATTTTGATAGCAGAATGTTCATTTTATGTTTTGACATTAGATTTGTTTTTCTACCATATCTGTTCTTGTTTCTTCTAATAATTTTTGAGTTATGACAGTGAGAAGCACGCTTGACAAATTTTTTTTTCTTTATTTACATGGGGAGGAAATTAAAATAATTTCTTTTGAATATATATACAAAATTAAACTAGACAAATTCAGTTTAATAATTTTATTACATTTTATCAAACAAAGTACAGAAGTAATCTGCAATTTCTGCAGCTGGTTAGATCAATATAAATTAACACAGAAAAATTATAAATGCACAGGAAGGAAAGAAATCTAAACAAGTAAAAAATAATTTACAATTTTCAACACACAAGAAGTATAAAATAATTGAAACACTTTTATGGGTCTTTGGATGGAAGGAATAGAGGGGAGGAGATGGGAAAAAGAACCATAGCCTTAATCCATTAAAAAGCTTATCTTAGCAATTACTATATGAATTTAACGTCCACTTTTTTTTCGATGTTGAGCTTGAATAAAAGATTATTACTGATGTAAAGAATGTTTGAATTAGAGTTGTACCGTACCCTAAGATTTTAGTGGGTTTGAGTTTCCCATAAAAAAAGAAAAGAGAGAAACAGAGAGTCTTTTCAATAAATTTTGTGACTTAAGCTTGTTATTAAACACACCAAAATAAAATTTATAATTTTAGTTCCAAATGCATAATTTAAGGTAAAAATATAAATATAGCCAAAGGGAAAATACCTAGGTATGGGAGAAAAAGGAAGGGTTTCCTGAAATAGTGAAGATTCCATAGAGACAGGGAATCGATCAAAGGTAAAAAATAATCATATCACAAAAAATGAATAAAAATTATTCTATTTCAATATCTAAAAAAAATTTCACCAATTTCTGTTCCATTTTGATCATGAGATAAAAAGTACATCCTAAGAAAGGAGATGAGATTTTTATACTTTTTAACTTTTCAATTTAACACGTCATTTTGGGTAAAAATAAGATAAATATTTCAAATAAGAGGCAAAAACAATCTACCATAGCAAATAATTTTAATAAAATGTTTCTGATGGTCAATCGAGTCAATACAACAAAAACTAAACTGAATTTCTGGAATGTATTATTTAATTAGTGGTGCTTTTGATACATTCAAAAAAAGTACAGTTTTTCTTTAAATAAAATAAGCTTTAGCCAAAGAAAGCAAAATTTTAAATTATATAAGAACAGCTGAACTTAAAAAGAATTTGGTAGTTCGAACACAAAACTTAACCTTTGTCACTATTTGTATAACATTTACAGGATTGGTCATTTTATTCAACTACATCACTATCTAAAATTAATTTGAAAAAAGTATTAAAAAATGATATTTGCAGAATTCTAGTGTTAATTTAAACCTCTTAGGCTATGATTGAACTGCTTCAGAATGCGGAAATAATCTATGTAGAGTAGCACAAGCATCAGTACTACAAAAATAAAAACATTATGTTCACATGAAAAATATATTTTGAAACATGAAAAATTACAATCACTTAATATTTGAAGTTGCCTTAACAGCATCACTTAATTCAGGCACTTATCCAGCACTGAGCATCAGACTTTGAGAGCACAAATCATTGATATAAATTATATGTCAGGTTTATTTATAGATCAATACTTTTACAAAAGCTAAGCAGTTATCAATAATAATTTTGAGTTCATTATTGGAATAAATAAAAAATTAAAAGATAATAAAAATTATCAAAGATTAAGCATTAGCTTTTTATTAGTGGAATACACTTATTAGAATACTTTAAAAACTGTATTCTTTGAGTCCCTATTTTGGCGAGTATTTAAAGTTTTTGCAGTCAGATAAACATGACACTAAATAAGTATAATCAAAAAATGGTTATTAAACAACAAATTATTTTATATTATTATGTATATATTGTATAATTTGAAGGTTTCGTGGAACTTTTATTCACAAATAGTATCCTTTTTCATTTATCAGACGATTTTTGACATCAAATAATTTACATACATTTCCTGCCTTATTGTTACTTTGGTTACAACTTTCAATATCGATAAAATCAAAATTTGAAAAACTTCACAACCCAAAGAATATAAGAATAAATTTTGCATTAAAAAAATTTTTTTTCCTTTTTTTTTGTTACTGAAATCAATGATTCGAAAAAAAAATCATGTGATTTAAATCATGCCAACCCTGGATCAAACTCGATTGAACTGAAGTTTAATTATAAAATAGATTAAAATTTTTTTTAACATTTTCTTAATCAGTTGAAATAAAAAAAAGATAAAAAAGTCATCTGCAAAAGAACTGATAATACAATTTTAGACTACCATTTAATAAATTTATAAAATATCATTCATACTTAGAAATTTTTTTTTTTAAAGATATTTTAAAATCGAAGCAATAATCAACATTTATAAGCATCATGTTGAAAAAAATAAAGGTTTTAGACAGACAAATGCTTTAATAAAGGACAAATGCTTTCTAACTGAAGGTATTCAAACCTAGTAGATGAAGAAGAGGCTGCATTTAGCGATACAGTTTAATCACTTGAACTCAAGAAATCAGTGGACTTGCAAAATAATATATACTAACTCTAACTAACTCAGTGGCGCGACAGCCCATTAAGAGGGCCAAGGCCGACTGTGCCCATCTCAGTTTTCTTGACCTTGGGCTCTGGGGTGCAGGAGCATATGTTCCGGTCAGGTGGTCAGCCGAACGCGGAACCCCCAGTGTTAGTTCCCAAGCATGCTTGGTACTCATTTTATCGACCCACTGAAGGGATGAAAGGCTGAGTCGGCCTTGCCCGGCCCAAGGATCGAACCAAGGACCTGTGGCACGACAGCGCGAAGCGCTACCGCTCAGCCACCGGGCGTCAAAATAATATATATATATTAATTTTACGGAGTTGATAGATATTAACCCAAATAATTTTTTAATCTGATTTTTCATTGCAATTCAAGTTATATAAATTATAATTTGATGTAATTAAATTTAATCTAGCTTAAATGATTTTTAATAATCTTAGTTGGACAAAAATGAAAGTATTTTTTCGAATTATAAAAGCGCAAGCAGAATAATCATAGGTTTTTAATATAGTTAATTAAATGTTACTGCTTTAATGTCACTTATTTTAAAGGACGTACTTATATTGAAATCTTTTAACATTATATTTGAAAATGTATATACTTCCAAAGGATTTTTTATAGTCATTGGCAGGGTTAATTTGAAAATCCGAGGGCTGTAGGCACAAAAATCTCAGAGAGTGTGTACTCTACTCAATGCGGGTTCATTCAAAGGAAGTGTGTATCCTGTTTATATAGAAAATTTCTTTGAATAGGGTGCAGTGGAAATGTATACAGGAGCATTTTGTACTGTAGTTTGATTGTTTTCGTTATGATAATCAATTAAAAAAAATTTTATTAATTCAAAATTTCCTAAACTTTTTCTAATATTCAGATATAGATATAATTTGATTTAAGTTGAATAAAAATGAATGAATGTATGTGTATGTATTGCGTAGCAGCTTTTTATTATTAAACTTTAAATTATGTTACAAAATTAAAAAAATAAATAAAAAGAGTGAAGCCATTGTAAAGAGTTAAAATTGTTGTTATTAAAAACGCTACAGTTCTTTTACGATTTAAAGCCAGTAGAATATAATTTGGGTAAAAGCTTACCTCTTCTTTAAATCGCTTCTTCTTCTTCTATACGGATCAGACCGTATTTTTCCTGTTAATAGATACCTACTTCTCGTTGAGACTCAATTATTAACTAGTAAAAGGAATAATAGGAAAATTTTAATGAAGATATTTACAAATTTACAAGTCCCGCAGTGGACTGATCGTTAAGACACGGTTCCCAGCAGATCACCGAAGTCAAACATCACTGGCTACGGTCAGTGTGCGGGTGGGTGACCACTTGGATCAGTCTGCGTAGGGACCGAGGGTGTGCGGTATTGGTCCTCGTTAAACTGTGCTACCGTAAAGTACTCGACTTCGCGCGCAGGTCGTCGGGCTACCGAAGCGGGGGCGCCATCCTCTCCTCAGAGGATCAAAATTGTGATGGCATGTCTTCGGATCATCCCTCAGGATGTTTCCCAGACCGTCGTCAATAGCCCATTGTGCAGCTCTTGTGCGACGTAAATTAACAAACAAACAAAACAACAAATTTACAATTAAAGTGTAGAAGTAAAGTGTTGAACGGAGCTGTTCCTCCCTTCGCATTCGAACGATAATAATCATAATACATAAACTCTTTAGTTTTGGTTACAGCTAAAAATGAGTTATGGCTTTGTCCGCCAGATGGAGGTGGCGGTTTCGCAACACTCTCCCACCTTGAGTTTTGCAAAAATAGTTATCAAAACTCAACATCTGGAAAAAAGAAGTTAAAGTCACTAATAAAAGGTAAAAGTCCTGAAAATTAAAGTCTGAGATAATAAAGTCACAGGTTAAGTCTTTTAGGCAGTTTTAGGATACGCCCGTAACGGGAACACTGGGCAACAGGCTCTTGAGGACCTTCAGAGTCAGGAACTTGAGGAATAATAGTCTCTTCAGGTGAATGCTCTCCCGCATCAATCTGTGATCGAAAATCAGGTGGATGTCTATCACTCACTTCCAAGGGATAAAGTCTCTGTATAGGTCTTAGAAACTTCCCATTTCTTGTTTTGACTTCTACTACTCGCACTCTCCCATCTTTACTAGGGAATGTCTTTAATATCTTTGCCAATGGCCAATTGATTCTCTTGGTGTTAGTGTCTCCTACCAACACAATATCTCCTTCGCTAATAGAAGGTTCTTCACTATTTTTCGAGAAGTCTCTTAGTTGTCCCAGATATTCGTTTCTAAATCGAAGTCTCAAATCTTGACAAATTTTTTGCTTGTAAAGTAGTCTTTTATTGAGTTTCTTTGAGTCAATGAGGTCAAAATCAGGCACTCCAATTTCTTTTATGTCTTGTAGAAACATAGATGGTGAAAGAGCTATAAGGTCATCAGGATCTTCGGAAAGGTATATCAATGGTCGAGAATTTATTATGCTTTCCGCATCACACAATATGGTGTTTAATTCATCCTGGTTAAGACAAGATCTTCCAAGAACTTTTCTGAGTAATATCTTTAACATTCTAACTAGACTCTCCCAGAATCCTCCCTACCAAGGAGCGGAGGGGAGATTAAACTTCCATCGTATTTTCTTTGCTGTGGCAAAATTTCCGACTTCTTCCCAATTTACAGATTTTAGCTCGTTAGCTGCTCCTACTAGGTTTGTCCCGTTATCTGAGTAGACTATGAAGGGCCTGCCTCTTCTAGCGATGAATCTTCTGAAGGTCAAAAGAAAACACTCGGTTGATGAGGATAACACAAGTTCAAGATGAACCGCACGGTAAACCGCGCATATAAAAATCACTACCCAACTTTTATGGCCCTCTTTTAAGAAGAATGGTCCACACAGATCTGTTCCAACAACTTCAAACACCATAGTCTCTGTCACGCGATCTTCTGGAAGAAGAACATTAATGGTTTCAATAGGCTGAGCTCCGTATATTCTACATATCACACATCTTCGAATAACTTGTCTAACTGTTTTTCTTGTCTTAATGATCCAGTACGACTCTCTTAAAATGCTCATTAAAGTCTGAGTTCCTGCATGTCTAAATTCTAGATGCTTTTCCATAATTAATTTGTCTACTTCTGGATGCTTGTTCGGTAGAAGAATAGGAAAACGAAAAGTCTCTTTATCCTTTCGTAGTGATATTTTGGTTTCAACTCTTAAAAGTCCATGTTCATCTAGAACAGTTCGAAGGCTGTTTTCCGTTCTTCCTTAAAGCGTCCTTTTTGAACTTCTTTCAATAAATATTTTTCCGATTTATCAAGCTCTTCAATTTTCAATTTTCCCTTCGTCTTGTGCTCTTTGGCTCGTAAATTATTCAAAAATCTGAGAACCCAGGCGAATACTCGGATAATCCTTCTATATGATGACATGTTTGAAATAAATTTCAATTCTTCTGTTTCACAGCTGATGGCAGAAACAATGGTTTTCCTTTTCTCTGCATTAATTATGTCTAAATCGGGATTAATGCTGGACTGAGGCCATTCATTGTAAGGCAACTTTATCCACTTAGGACCTTCCCACCAGATAGATCTTATCCGTTATTTAGCGTTGCAGCCCCTAGAAGGTGTATCAGCAGGATTTAAAGGTCCAGCAACATGCCTCCATTCATCAGGATTGGTTAATTTTCCTGTTTCTTGAATTCTGTTGAACACAAAGACACCCCAGTTGTCATTCTTTTTTATCCTGTAAAATGCATTAACTGAGTCAGACCAACAAAGAAGAGGAATGATTTCATCTAATCCCAAGTCTTTCTTTACGGTTTGAATTAATCTTGCCCCAATCGTACAGGCTAGTAGTTGCAATCTAGGAATCGTCATCTTCTTTAGGGGGGCCACACAATTTCTGGCTTGAATAAGTTGACAAGTCATATTATTAGAATACTCAGTTCTTAAAAATAGACAGCAGGCATATGCAGAACATCTAGCATCACAGAAGAGATGTAAAGACAGTTTGGCACCTGAATGTGAATATTTCATCAAGTACCTTGGAATGGTAAGTTCGCTCAGAGACGATATTTCCAATTTTCACTTTTTAAACTTGGTTTGCATTTCTGATGAAAGTTCAGTGTCCCAAGAAATTCCTTTTTCCCAACAATCATATAATAACAACTTTGGGGCTAAAGTTATAGGGCATGTGACACCAATCGGATCAAATATTCGATGGACAGACGATAAAATCTTTCTTTTTGTTATAAGTTCGTCTTCTTCTTTAGAAAAACTTTTCAAATCTACACCAAGTGTATCACCAGGTAAGTTCCAATTGAGACCTGAAACAGGAACGATTTTGTAATTTTCTTCCGATTTTCTGCTTCTGTTGATGTACTTGAGCACTCCCACCCTCGAAGGTTAAATTTGGCAGTACTCATAATTGCGTGAGATTCCAGAATAAATTTATAAAGTTCTTCAGCACTGTCGACACTTAATACACAATTATCCACGTAGAAAGATTTCTTCAATTTGCAAGCAGTTTCTTACAAATGTGGCGGAGCATTATCTAGATGATATTCAATTGTGGCTCCTAATAAAAACGGGCTTGAGGAGATGCCAAAAAACTACTCTCTTGTGTTGAAAACATCTTAAATTTTGTCTCTTTCCATGCTCCCACCACAGAAATTTCAAATAAGGTCTATCATTCTTTTGTACTCCAATTTGTAAAAAGGCCTTTTCAATGTCCACTATTATGTCAAATTTTATAAGACGAAATTTGTTTATTATCGAAGGTATAAGTTCAATGAGGTTAGGACCTTTTTCAAGGCAATCGTTTAGAGAGGGATAATTCTCTTGTCTAATCGAGCCATCAAAAACTGGTATCACTTTTGTAGTAGAGTTATCTTTAAAAATCGGACGATGAGTTAAAAAATGTTCTTTACCATCTCTATTAATAATTTCTGCATTTTCTATTATGTCCTCTTCAAACCAGTTCTCAAAGACCTTTTCATAATCTGTTACTCTCCCTGATCGATCGAAAGATTTTACGCACCTATCAAGCCTTTTTTCCGCAATATTCCTACAATCGAACATTGGGGGGTGATCCTTAATCCAAGGTAGATTAACTTCGTACTTGCCATCCTTGTCCCTAGTAACAGCTTGTAAAAAGTGTTCCCTAGCTGCGTCTTCTATTTCTTTCCTAGAAGCCTTTTCTCTTGGATCACGAATACCTATGGTATCAAGTGACCAAAATTCTGAGATATCAAAATTATTGACATGAAGAGACAATAAAATGTTCGAATTCATGTAATCCTGCTCACTGCCTTCTGTTTTTCCCAAAACTGTCCAACCCAGTTTTGTATTTACCGCTAACAGTCCTTTTCTATGATGATTAATGACTCTCGTAAAGACTCTGCCATAGAAAATGCAACTCTTTTGGATCCTTTTCAAATAGACAAACATTATCATTAACGAAAATATCACTGATAAAAATTCCAGAATTCTTTAATTCATTAACACTATTAGCATCTCTTAACTTTGGTAAAGGTATGCAAATTTTCTCCTGATCCATTACATTTACTATTAAAGAAAACCTTTTATCAATATTACTTAATTATACACAATATTTTTTATGGTTCTCCCTTTTCACAGTTCCTCCGAAGAGGCCATGGTTCACAGATTCTTCACCCAAACACTTCAATTTTTAAAATTCTGCGGCGAATCTAGAGACGTAACTCTTCTGTGATCCTGAGTCAAGGATCCCACTGACATAATAATCTACAACATTAACATTTATACACACAATTAAAGTTTGCAAAAGAATTTCTTTATAACAGGAACTATTGGCTGACACAGTTTTTTCTGATGTAATATTATTTGTTTCATGGTTAGGTTTCTCTTCTTTCTTATTATTCGCACTATGGCACATAATCGAAGCATGACCTCTTCCGCAATCCTTGCAAAAAATATTTTTATTCGTGCATTGACGGCTTGTGTGCGAAAAAGAAGTGCATTTGTAGCATGCGCCATTCTTAAGTAAAATATTTTTCTTTTCTTCGATACTCAATGAAGAAGCAATCGGGCATATTTCACTTCGGTGAGCTTTTAAACAGAAATCGCAATTTGAATATTTATGAGTTTTTATTTCCGAAGAGCAAAACAACTCGGCGCCAGTAATCACTTTCTCATTTTTATGTTCATTTTGAGAACGGGGGAAGGGAGAAAAGGTCCTTAGACCTTCATTTCTAACGACTGACAAAAATGATCGTTCTTTAGCAGTCAAAATATTCGATAAAAAATCAAGTATGTCTTTCGTGTTATAAGTTGAATTCTTAATTTGTTTATTGAATTCAAAAACTAAATCAGGGGGGATCATTTTTAATAACATGGGAGACAACATAGCACTATAAGTATCAGGTAGAACGTTTAATGTTTCTAAACTTCTAATTTCGATTTGAACAGCATCGAAAAGATTACGAAACGATTTCACATCATTAGAGTTTTTCAATGGTGGAATATTCTATATTTTATTCATGTGTGTGTTGATTAAAATTTTTTTACGTCCGAATCTATCTTCTAACATTTTAATAGCATTATCATAATTTTCAGCCGTAATGGCAAATCCTTCTATGGTTTGAAGCGCTGTTCCAGACAAACAAAATTTTAAGTACTTAAATTTGTTTACTTTATCTAATACATTGTTATTGTGCATGGCAGATTCGAATGAATTCCAAAAACTAAGCCATTGGCTTACGTCTGCATAAAATTTTTGGATGGATAATTTTGGCAGATTTATTTGAATTTTATCTTGAAACATATTTTCTAATGTGATCTTTAAACTGGAATCAGGTAATGTTTCGTTTTTACCTGCCGATTGATGTGTGTTTTTGTTTTGTTTCGAATTCAATAACTGTTCTTTAGTTTTCTTTTTTGCTTTAAATTTCCATGTTATTATTTTTTCACGATATTCCAAAGCGGAATTAATGTCAGCATCGAGATCTTTTGGATCAAGAATTTTTTGCAATTCCGTGTCGAGAGAATCCAATTCAACCGCTAATTCTGTTAACAATTCTACCGACTCTTCTAAATATTCTGAAGAAATTTATTTTTCGGTTTAATTTTCAATAGTTTTCATTTTATTAGTTACCGATGATCTTACAATACCTCTCCGCATTTTAAGTCGTGCAATTATGTCGTCAGCCATTGTTTAAGTATTCTAATTCTGACGATCTCTATTGTAAACAAAAGTTTCACTTTCGATTCCTATTCCTTTTCAATCTCAAATTTGTTTAACTATTTTCAAGAACGGTCAGGTTCCAGCAGGGATGCCAGTATTTATTAAAAATGGTACAGTTCTTTTACGATTTAAAGCCAGTAGAATATAATTTGGGTAAAAGCTTACCTCTTCTTTAAATCGCTTCTTCTTCTTCTATACGGATCAGACCGTATTTTTTCTGTTAATAGATACATACTTCTCGTTGAGACTCAATTATTAACTAGTAAAAAGAATAATAGGAAAATTTTAATGAAGATATTTACAATTAAAGCGTAGGAGTAATAATTTTGAACGGAGCGGTTGCTCCCTTCGTATTCGAACGATAATAATCATAATTCATAAACTCTTTAGTTTTGGTTACAGCTGAAAATGAGTTATAGCTTTGTCCGCCAGATGGAGGTGGAGGATTTGCAACAGTTGTCTAGTTAAAATTCAATGCAGTTAAAAAATAATTTTAACAGTTCAACATGCTATTTTCATTAAAAACAGAAAGATCATATATATGAAATGTTTAAATTTTAGTGTTCCTCAATTGAAAAATGTGCCACCACAATACTGTTTTTTGAATAAATAAAATCCTAACAATGCTATATTATTTACTTCAAATATCCGTTACTAAAAATTCTAGTTGATGATTTTGAAAAAAAAAACTGCTTTCAAATTTTAAATTCTTTTGAGAAATTCAGATGACGGTGCCATCAACACTTAATAGAAAAAGAGAGAATTTAACGCTATAATCGCTATATTTTTAATATAAAATTATATATTAATTATAGGTTATTAATTCACAGGGATCATAGATTTTAGTTGATGATAATAATTTCTAAATCATGCAAGATTGAAATTGAACTTTTGAGAAT